ACCAGTCAGCCAATTGTGACCATTGTTATAGACAAAACGGCTAATAAAATCCGCCCCTTGCCCGCTTTCTGATTTGCGTACTGCGAGAAAAAAATTAATGATTTAAATATTTATATTACAAGAGATAAAATCAAATAAAACGAAAATCTTAGAGTTAATTTATTAATTTACCCCACGGCATTATGTATAGCCGAGGCTGCGATTGGCTAAAGGCCAGAAATAACAAACAAAACGTCATCGAACGAGCAAACACGTCAATGTACCGTACTGTGTCCGAGGCGGGAAATCGAAATAGCGTAAAGCGAGAAAAGGGATGTTGTTTGTAAACTTACATTAATTGTTAGTACAAAACACAATACTTCTACTATAACTACATACATACAAATTTACGAGAACAAAAAAAAAATGTATTTGAAATTTCATATGATTAGCAATGATTTTGTGTTTCATAGATTGAAGTTTTATTTCATCCAAATAAGGCGAAATTCATTAGAACATACCATCGTCACATATACAAACACAGATGTATTGCAGTAAAGACGGCGTAAGATCTGTGCCAGCTGTGATAAAGAAAACATATAACTTATGTACATACATACACACATACGTGTAGATGGTCTTAGTTTAGGGGATTGCGTTGAGCAGCATGACGATTGCCGTCTGTTTTCCCCAATTTCACTATTTATTTGTTATTAAATGCTGTGTTTGTTTTTGTATTATACAAGTGCTATTGTATTATGCTGACTCGTATTTCTTTATATTTATTTATTTTTTTTTTTGTTGGAGGAATGTGGATTTATTGATGACTCATAGAAAGAAAAACTTTATTAAACATGCGTGAATTTTTCAGGAAACCGTAAACTATATTTATGTTTTATTCAAATGAATGGCCAAATGCAAATGGGTTAAAATATAAAAAATACATATGTAGGCTTTCATATACAGACCGATCGGCAACTGAAGAGTAAGCATGACATAGATAACGAGGAACTTTTGTTTGACAGCATGCTAGCGACAGCAACAACCGAGTCAGAAAACTCCGCTGAAGGCCGAAAAAATTGTAAGTAACAGCGAAATAGAGCTGCGCAATAGCAAGCCTATCGATCGCCCGATGCAAAAATCCAGCTAAAGATGACAGAAAACAAGATAAAACAGGCATTGAGATACGAAGACGAAAGTAATATGAAAAATTTTATAAAGTCTTTGTCTCTCAACGTTTCTACTAAAAACACGCTTTGGAAACCTGGCAAAAACATTAAGCTACATACAAGAAGTAAAGCGCCGCTGAAACTGCCTAACGGTTTATGTGGCTGAATAGATAAAACAGGCGATTTGTTCTAGCACCGTCATCATATAGACCAATCAGCTTGTTGCCTTGCCTATCCAAACTTTTTGAAAAAGTGCTATTGTCACTCCTCCTTGTACTCTTTATCTCCATCAAAATTATATTATTCCTACACACCAAATAGGAGAGCCCTTTACCCTGATTTTGGATTCTTTTACGCAAAAAATGAGAGCCACATATTTGTGGAGTATATGTTTAAATGGATTTTCCAATACAATGAATATTTTTGCAATGACGGCGTCTCGAACACATCTGTCTCACACACGCACCTACGCAAGGCAAACTTTCAAAAAACTTTGAACACGTTTTTCTCGAAACCATTTTTTTCGATCTAACTTCAAGCCTCGCGCTTGATCCATCTGTCCGATATCTTTTATGTAAAAACTATTTCAAAGTATATAGTTTTCTGTACGTCTTGAACCTAAGATTAACATTAATAATTAATTATTTAGAATTTTTTAACGAAATTCAAGTGAATTATAATGCAATAAAATTAACGGTAAAATTGTTTCAATCGAGAACGTAGAAAAATTTCATTATCTTCAAGTAATTGCTAAGATTTTTGCTTTCAGTTTACTACAAAAGGCTGTAGGTTTGAAGTTGTTGGGCCATGTTTTGCGCTCAAGGGCCGAAGGAGCCGTCATCTTAAATTTCGACCATTTTTTTGCCGTTTTGAAATCTCAACTCATAAGCAAATTTAATGGTCAAAACCGGAAGATCGCACGCATTTTCGCTCTGCCACAAAAAAAATGTTTCCTGATTTTTGCCCAATATCAGCGTAGGATCCCCATAAGGAAAGCTTTTAAATTCATAGAGTATTGCTCGGCCGTTTTCTTTTTTGATGTGGCGGGTGTTCCACAAGGTGTTATTGGACCAATATTGTACATACTGTTCACCGCAGATATTCCGACAATGTGTTGATTCCTTCCATTAAAGAAGATATTGAAATCGCAGCAAAAAATGTACTTAACAAAACTGCGTAACCATCCGAAACATTTGGCTAATACCATGCCCTGTGCAACAAGTCAAACACGCCTGTAGAGAAGGGACTTGCTACCTTTGTGAAGAGCAACATTAAGCCAGCAGCCCATTTCTACTACTTGGCTTTATGCTTTAGTTTGGTTTGGTTTATTGTGAGGCCTCCGATGTTAAAGCAGATTAAATTAATAAATATTAATGCTTGCCGTATCTATTATAAAATTTAAAGATGATTAATACTTTTTGAAATATCGCTTGAAGCAGATATCATCACAGCTATGTAAACCCCATGCAATTTTTTAGCACCCATCTCTTAAAGCAGAGATTTCACTACATGTAGTCCTGCTTAAATTTCATTGAGATTTTTATTTTTTATTTTTTTCAGTGGTGCTATAGAAACCGACACTGAGTTGCTTATTTATCGGAATTGAAAATAAATATCTGTTAAAAAAGAAATGAAACCGACTTGATTTTAATTTTTCCGAAGATAAGCTGGTAAGATTTTCGAATCAGCTGGAATCAGCAGATGCAAAACATCCAGCAATTTAATTTATTTTTTAAAGAAATAAAGACTAAAATTTAATTTTTCGTCTTTTTTTTAAATTCATATATACTCGATGGGGTGAAAAGTAATATTCTTGACCGCCAGTATGAGCTGCTACTTCGACAATTGTTGTAGTGCCTTGTCGTCCATTCATATTTACGCAACATGCCACATTTCCGTGCGATTCTGCCCTTAGTTATGTTTTGAGGGGTGATTGATGTTGACGTATTTGGCTTCATGTTGAGTACAAAAACGATGTGCGTTCTCTCAAAAAGTATTATTTTTTGAGAAGCAAAGCGGCGAAGGAAACAAAAATCAAGTTGGATAAATACTGTGGGGCTAATGCTGCGTTAGATAAAACCGAGAAATTTTGGTTTCGAGATTTTCGTGACGGCCGCAACTCCACTACCGATCAAGTCTGCAGCGGTAGGCCCTCTAATGCGGTCACAGAGGATAATGTCAAAATAATACATGACATGGTATTGACTGAGTGGAAAGTGAAGGCATTCACAGTGATTAGTACTGAGGCCACGCGCCATATTTTGTGCAAGATTCTGCATATTAAAAAGTTATCCTGCCGCTAGGCGCCGCGTATGCTTACTGCGGGCCAAAAGCACGAACGCGAGAGCACTTCGAAAGAAAATGTCAAGAAGTTGGGAAATCGTTGGACTTAGTAAATAGAGATTACATTGCATAAAATAGAAATGCACTTCAAATTTTTTTTTTATTCGCAAGGAGGTTACCTTTCACCACACCTTGTACGAGTATGTAGATTCATAGACTAATAACGTCATAACAAAGAATTCTTTGTAATAGAGCTTAATGTTAGAAAAGACAAGTTAGATATGCTGTAAATCCCAACTGTGCTTCAACTTACCTCAAGAGGTCTTTGGGACTCAAATATCTGCTTAGCGCGACCTACATAGGTGGTTATAACAAATGGAATAGAGTTAAGAACAAACGAGAGATAGTGAACATTTCTACACCAATTGTGATATTCCAGAATTACTGCTCGTAAAACCCATTGTTTATGACTTCGATATTTATTGAATTTCCGCTTGAAAAAAGTTAGCCCACAAATCCGTCAACGATGAACTGCTCTATTTAGATCTGACACTTAGATCGACAAATCAGTTTCAATAGCCGATGAACCAGTATGAAATCCGAGCAAATGTACAACCTTTAAGCAGAATTTAGTAGGTTTCAATATTTATTGAACCAGTTCTGGATTGGATTTACATAAATACGAACTTATGTCAATTCAACGAGCTGAAATAGTGACACTTTATATCGAAAACAGTCGTTCCATTGTGTTAACTCAACGCCCATATCGGAAAAAATATCGCGGCAATAAGATACCATCTGACAGATTACCTGATTTAACCCCTTCTTTTTGTGGGGTTATCTGAAAGCCAGGCTTACGTCAACCAGCCTCAATTATTGATGAGCTCTAGGCAGACATTCGTGCTGAAATCGACGTGTGTTATATTGTAGTTCGGAAGGCAGAACCTTTTCAAAAACTACCAAGTGTTCCGAAAAATGCACTTTTTGTGTGGTTTCAGGGTCGGATGTACTTTGCCTTAGACGATGATGGTCGTAACATTACTGTGGATGGCAAGAGCTAATGAGCTATGACTATGAAAATGAAGGAGCTGGGTTTGGCTGTAATTTGGCTTAAAAAAGGGCTTTATGCCACACAGTGCCGGTCAACTGACCGCCTAGATCGTGTGATTTAATGCCATTTAATGGTTTTTAAAATTTCTGTTTTGTTGCTATATTAAGGCTCAAGCCTATAGCAAAAGTCTCGATTGACATAGTAAAAGTCAATTTTGAAGAATTCATTTTTGAAATTTAATCCGGCTTAAGGAGCTTTTTTAACGCAGCCACGATTGTTTTAATAAATACTTCATATATTTTTCACAATATTGATTATTTTTTAATTGTTTATATATATAAAATAATTTTTTTAATATACATACATATGTATAATCTTAGTATTTTACATTTCGAGGTCACATACCTGAAGAACGCAGACATCTGTGTTGATATATAATATTTTTATTTACGTTTATTTCTTACTATTCTTAGATAATGAAAAATAGTTTATGAAAAATCCTTCCTTTTCTTCCCTAGATCCCCAATCGCCTAGCACAAGTGACGTCACAGTTGTGTCTGCCACAACTTCAGCAAAAGCGGCTGCTGCAGCCACCTCTACATGCTTTCACCGTAGCAACAGTACGCATATTAGTAGTCCTAGTGCAACTTTGACGTCTAAAGCAAGTAGCAGCAGTTTAACTAGTAACATAACTAGAACTTATTTTAATACAACAACAAGCGTAGTTACACGTAAACACGGTGGTCTGGCCATTGCTATCAAACGACAGGATAGTATTGGTGCTTACGGTGGTAATAATAATAATAATAACGGTGCAACTACTTTTCATACGCCGCTAAGTTCCCGACAATCTTCATATTCCATACCCAACACGCCGATCACACCAACAGTGCCTACACTTAGGCGTGGCCCATCGGTACGAATAAGCGAGGCGTCAACGGCGATTTGTGTTGGGAACGACGAGAACGCGGCAAATACTAGTGGGCGAGAGAAGCAAGAGCGATCGTTGACGTGTTTGGAACGATTTCGGGGTAGAGTTTTGAGATGTAAGTATCTTTTTTATTGGTTTTATTATTTGTATGTGTATTTTTAAATTTAAAATTTTAATAATACCAAAGCAATTAACTTAAAGTAACTGTTTTATCATTTCTCTTTAACTAGTTCTTGCGAAAATCATGGGCAGTAGAACACCTAGTGAAGATGGCTATGATTATTATGACTGTAAGTTGCCTAAATTAATTTTCATTATTTGGATTATTTGTGCTACGAGTATTCCTCATCGTAATTGTTTAAATTCAAAGGTCACTATAATAAAAGAGATTATTTGAAATATGGAACTCTGCCTAACTTTGGTTCCAAAAATAAAGTCTCATATTGAAACCATACCAAAAATGAATTAAAAGGGACCAATTCTTTTACCCAAGGAGCGCAGTGAAATTTTCAATAAACAATACATTATATTTTTAATATATACGTACATATAATAAGAAATAAGATATTTATTATTTTGGTGTTGTAAGAAGAAATCCATTATTTTTGTTTGAAATTGAAGTCTTTAATTACCGATCCGATTCGATTTAGGTCAAATATGTACCGTTTTGTCCCATAACTTGTTATCATTCTAAAGGTTATTTCTTATTGGCAAAAAATTGGGATAGTCATAAATATACCTCTCTCCAAGCGAATTTTTCTCCCTCAAAATTTTTCGGAATATAAGGTTTATGCATAATAACCTCCCAGCCAATCTACCGGAGCATCTGGCGAGTCACTATCGAAGTGTATGGCATGGCGTTGTCCTGATGAAACATAATTCTTCTCCAATTGGCCAAAGCTGGCCGCTTCTGGGCGATGGGTTCCTTTAGAAGGTTCAATTATTGACAGTACAGTTCCGAGTTAAGAGCAGCTGCCGTATGAAAGCAGCTCATGGTAGATAATTTCCTGCTAAATTCCATCAAACTCACAGCAAAACCTACTTGGCTTAGTCTCCGCTGGCTCACCACGTTTCGGCTACTATCGTTTTTGTTCTAAGTGATCCACTTCTCATCGCCAGTCACCAACCGTTTCAGAAATATGCCGATATTGTTGCAATTCAACAGTTATTCGTAGATGGAAATGGGTCCATGAAGTTTTTTTGCGTAAATTCGTGTGACACGGATATATCGAGCTCCCTTTCGTATCCAGCCTTATTCAAATGGTTTGAAATGATTTTTTGTTGCAGCTCTTGGGCAATCGATCGGACTTACATAATGTGAGATGCAAATAAATAATGCCATATATTGTAAAATATTGGATTCATTTTTACTACACCTGATATGTATGATAGGTTTTATCTTTTGAAGGTTAAATGTACGAAATATTGCCAGTTGAAGCTTCATTATTATTTTAAGACTACAGTTTGTCCACTTGAAATTCTAAGATGGTTCTAATAAAATTTTATTCAGATTTTATGGATTTTAATTAAATAATTGATGAGCTCCTTTATTAAAACTTATGAAAAATTTCAGATAAGTTCAGCCATAAATATGTTTCTTTCATACAGATCGAATTCGAAGAATACCAATCGGTCCCTCTCATTAATTCTGGGTTCTGTGCCATATTTTAAATAAATCAACCCATATATGTCTATATATATTTGGCGCTTTGTAACAGCTGAAGTGATATTTGGTTGGGTCCCTCCTCCAATTTGTAGTTTTACGTTTTGATGTTTTTCTAGTAAATGGAGGGTTCTACAGTTTATACTAAGCCGCTTCCGAACGGCTGATATTTTTTTTTATGAAGAGCTCTATTTCATGTCAGAAATACACTCGGAGGCGTTGACATTCTCTGTCGAGGAGCGACCATAATTAGAAAATTTAACTTAATTTTTTATTTAAATCAATTTTATATAACTTTTTGGATGTTAGTACGATGACAAGACATAAATCCGAGCATTCCGAAGGGCTGTGCGCAATGCTAACCCCTCGTCTACCGCCGCCGCCATTATTGGATGTCTACATCATACGAAGAATACGCTCTCCAAGTTTCAGATCTTTATTATAGATCTTTATTATTAATGTCTAAGGCAGCGGGTTGATCCGTCAGTTATTCAAGCCAAAACCTTTAATACACATAGATAAATTGAAGATGAAATAGCTAAATGAAAATTATTTATCGTCCACCCATTAAGCTCATTTGAACGGGTTTAACACGAATCACTCAAAGCTTTAGCCGTCCAGATTTGATTAAAATGAATTTATTTTATTCTTCGTTTTAAACATCTGGGTACAACCTAATCTGAAGCGGTGTTTTTTCATGTGAACCAGCGACCGATGAATATACAGTCCACCGCGAAACTTAATAAAGTGCTTTAGACAACAATGAGCTTTTTATGATCATTTATAAAAGGGTGGTAGATAATATTAGGGGCTGGCTAAACGATATGAAAATTGCTTATTTCTTCTCTTTCCATCTGCTTCTGCAAGTTTTTCTAATATATTGTAATGCATAAGACCTTTAATAAAATAATTAGATAAGGAAATATAGTACCCACATACAAAAACATGCAATTGAATTCCTTGCAATCACAATGATGATCAATCGATGATCACCTATAGAGATGTGGAGTTAGATAGTTGTGGCCATTAATGTGGGGCCAAGCTAGGGTAGTGATAAAAAAATAATAGATCGTTCGATCGAAGGATGTAGCTCCTTTCCGTTCTTCCAGCTTCTATAGCAGCTTCTCGTAGGCAAACCTAGCATTCCTGCGTACCGGCCGTTGAGGAAGTGATTTTTCAGGGCTTCTAATACCTTTAATATATTCTTTTAGCTAGGAGATTACATTTTACTGGATCACTTTCGATCTCAAAAAATTTTGCTTTTGCTTTTTCATTTTCATGACGAGCACCACGAGTACATGTTCACTCATCACGACACGGCAGTCGAACTAAACAAGATAGAACGATCGCAAATATATTATATTAATAGAGAAGAAAAGGATGCCGGGAGAAAGGAAAGAGAAAATGGAGGTCGCAGGATTACCACAATCGTGGCAGTGTAATCAGTCTCATTACTAAATTTTCACACCTCGTCTAAGGATCTTTCAAGGGTGCTGTATGAAAGATTAAAGCCCGCCGTCAGCAAACTTTTTTGGGACATATCAGTGTGGATTTATACCTCATAATCAATCATTGACCGGACATTCACCATGCGCCATATCTTGGAAAAGTCCAGTGAGAAAAGAATCGATATACATCACCTTTTCATTGACTTCAAGAAGCGATCCCTACCAAAATTGGATCTTTTAATGGGTTTGGGATCATAATAATCTCCGAGAGCTTTCAGGATTAAGGAATAAAGTGTAGTCATATTCTGCTATTAAAGGTATGAAGCATGTGTTTGAGTACAATGTGTGGAAGCTATTTTGTGGTTAATATCATTTTTCTTAAGATCCTTTGAAATCATTTCTCCGAGAGATTTAAAATCAAATTGAATAAGATTTTTATCTCGATCTTCAGCGAGTTCTGGATCGGAATTGGATCCAATATAACGTGCGCAAATACATTGGAAAAAGTCATGGCAAATGAAGTACCCTTTTTCTGGTCGCTTTCAGCTGTACGCTACGAAAACCAGTTCCTATGAGAAATCGCTGACAGGGATTGCAATGTGTTCTGAATTCTATTTACCTTTCACTTTGAAGCTCTTATATTCTCTTTTGCATCTATTGGGCTCTACTAATCTTTTCTGAGCTGTCTTTTCTTGGTTACCAAACTTGTGATGTCTTTACCCTGTAGATCGGTAACAGTTTGTTTCTTATTTGAGTTAGATGTGCCATTTGTGCCAATTGTAGAAAAGTTGTAAAACCATTAACAGCTTTGGGTGCATCTGAAATTGTTTCAAGAGACAAGTTCGATTTTAGATGTGCACTTCTGTTTTTTTTTATATTTTAGCCACTGAAAACTGGGATTGTTTAATAGAATATAAGCAAGCATCAGAAGTTAATTCGAAAGTGTATTACGTTTACTTATGCTCTTCTGTAGCCACAAGTTATTTTAAAGTCAATCAATTCTTGGGTTTACTAATGTCGGTTGGTCAGTATGTTGACCGGTAGACGAAACGTTATTTTGAATAACCCTGTGAGAATTTTTACTCTTTGAAAATATTACCCTTATTTCGTAGCCAGAATGTTTTTGATTGTAATCTACTGCTGTTTTAGGGAAAATAAATAATTTATTTTCTAAACTATTTTTTTCATTAACCGTGACATAAAAGTACAAATTAGTATTAAATTTTAAAACTTTTTTTTTAAATAATATAAAATTATTGGCTTGGAGTTTTTGACGTTTTAAAAAAAATTTTTTCCCGACTGTTTTTAGTTCATAATTTTCAATTTTGATGAAAAAAAATCTGGCAACACTGTTTGTAAGTCTCAAATTTGTTTATTTCCCCGGTTTCTTTACAAACCAGAATAATTTTAAATCCTGCTGGGAATAAAATTACTTTAAAAAATATTTAAATTTCTCTAATTGCTTTATGGCTGATTAAACGAAAGCGAAGTATTTTAAATGCCTCAATTATAAATATAATATCGCTACTTTAACATAAGTGTCCAAACATTCTTAGCAATTCTTTTTAATGTGCTCTATGTGTATAAACATACGAGGGGCGGCTGGTAAGTTCAATGAAACAAATTTATTGTTTTATGTTTTATATTTTTCAAGTGTAAAACACTTTTCCTATCGTCAATACAATACCCCTGATACCACTGAAAAATTTTTATTCAGATTTCTTTTTAAAAATCCGCTTTCATCTCACTGTCGTCTAAAAATCTTTGTACCCGTAAATCCTTTTTTAAATTTGTAAAAAGGAAAATGTCACTGGGAGCCAGGTCCGGTCTGTACATTGGATGGTAAATTTCTGTAAGTTCAGTAGCTTTTAAGTTACCCCTCGCAATGCGAGCGGTGTGAACGACTGTGTTGTCTTGAGAAAACAGCACTCCGCGCGCTAACTTGCCACGTCTCTTTTATACGACTGCCTCACGCGCCTGACTCAACAAATCAGCGTAATACTGGTTCGCTTTATAGTTCGCTTTAGCAAGTAATCAATTAATAATATTCACTCGATACCCTAGAAAAGGGTAGCCATAATCTTCGACGCCGACTTTACCACATTGAATTTTTTTGGTGGCCTTTTATTATTCCCTGCATCGACTCTTGCTTAGGCACGGGATCATGCTGATGAATCCAAATTTCACCAACTGCTACAATGAGGTTGCTAATTTCATACAAATCATCTTTGCACAACTCCAAAAAATCTTTACAACGCTTCAGCCGTCGCTTCAAGTCGAGCGTCGTAAGCGTTCGCTATACCTAACGCGCACTATTTTTTCTTTCATATACAAATGTTCACGTTAAATCTCTCTAGCTCGTTCTTAGCTAATCTGTAATCCTTCTGTTAGCTGCCATAGTTTAATTCTTCGATCAACTTCGATTAGTTTTTCGAATTGCTGAACCCGACTGGATCCGGTCACGACTGTCACTGGGCGTTCCGGGCGGGCGCTATCTTCACAGATTTCTCTTAATTGTTGAAGCATTTATCGTATGAGAAGAGGTAGTGTCCTGAAGAACTCTTGATATCTCTTTAAAACTTTCTTTCGACGGACTTATATTTTGTACAAGGCATTTAATCACTTTCCGTTGACATAGTGTTGTGGCTTGTTCCAGGAATGACATGTTAAAAAATCTTATAAAAAAAGTTGCGTTCCGCAATCATTAGAATTTTCAGTCACGAGATGATGTGTGAACTACCTTAGGTCGCGAACTTAATCAGCCGCCCCTCGTGCATATAAGCAGACCAAGAAACCTAAACAATTGAAACGAATTAAAGTACAAACAAATCAACTATATATATATATGTAGGTACATAGATATGTCTGTGTATTTAGATATAAAAAAAAAGTATTTGTATTTATTAGTATCATTTTCCAAATGCCTTTGCAAAAGAAAATAAACAAAGTTTTATCCAGTCACTACAGCACTGGCATACCCGCTGTTACTCCAACAGCGAGGACATTAGCTTTTCAGCGACGTTGTTTACTCGCTTACTTACAGTTATAAGTGGTTATGGCAGCATGCGTGTACATACTTACAGATACGTACATATGTATATGTATATGTCTGTTTTATTATACATATGTATATTCGGCATAAAGACGAGCCTTTTGCTCCATGAGGCGGTCAGTGGAGAACAAACCAAGGCACTATAAGAGACTAATATCGCAGTAAAAATGAAGCTAAATATGACACTAAAGCTAAATAGACCCAAGGCGCACATGTTGCACGTATGCCATATATGTAAACATACATATATATTGGTGTGGTAAAAAGAACTCCATTATTTTTCCAATAGATGACGTTATTTAACTGTATATCGAGTTGCATAAGTTCGATCGGATTCCACTAGATGGCGTTGGAAAGATGACATTTCGCACTAAAAAAGTATTTCTGGCAGTTTTGTTGAGTGGAAGATTCAGTTTTGTCAGAGCGTGCGTCAAAAGATGGACACTAGCAAAGAGAAAATACGCTATATTTCACAGTTTTTCTTCCATAAGGGCGAAAACGCAGGTCAGGAGGCTGAAGATGGGAATACCGTTTAGGGCCCTGATATTGTTACAGTCAATTATGGCACAGTTTCGGTTTCATTCCGGTAATTATTATATGGAGTGGATGGCTAATTGGCGAAAATGTCGATAAAATTATGGATATTGTCCAGCACGAGTCTGACCATCATTCGAGCACTGTTTCGATTGCCCAAAAGTTAAAGATGGCGCAAAAAACCATTTGGATCATTTTCATAAGGCTGCAAGCCTGCGAAAGTAAAAAAATTAAAGCCTTTCATTTCAAACAAAATAATGGATTTCTTTTTACTGCACCAATATGTAGGTATATGTATATATATACAATACATATACACATGTATACATAACACATATAACTCTAACTCTAAACCTCTTTAAACCAAATAGGGAAATTAGGAATTGAATAATTACATATACACTTACAAACATAGACATACGTACGTGAAAAAGTAAAACTCTTAGAGCTTGAAGATGTTATATATGTAAATATCTGGGAAATTATGTCGACATATACAAACATATCTACATACGTATGTATACAAAGTTATATATTATTGCAATAAGTATATATTATATGTACATACATACATATTATATGTATGTATTTAGCTTCCCTCTTGCTAATCACATCCAACCCATAGCGACAGACAGTCGCTTGTGTGTTAATAATACATCCCATTTAGCTCCGCTTTTGGCTCCAACTTCATTGGCTTCCCGTCACTTAGTATGTAGTTGTGTGGCTTTGGCAGTGGCAGTAGCAGTGGCGTCTGCTAATACGCAGATTCGAAAACAAAGCGCACCAAATATCACGACAGTTACCCGGCCAAATTATAAGGCTACAATGCCAGGGTCGCTGCTGCCAGCAGGGCTCGTACATTTGTCAGTCCGTCCCTGCGCACAGATGAGTAGTAAATGTGTATATACAAAATTACAAATATAAGTATATATATATAAATATATATATATATATATATATATGTATGTATATATGTATATGTGTGTATGTGTTGAAACAGTTGCTAAGCAACAGGTAGGCCTCGGTCTGGTCTGGTCTGGTCGGTAGTGCTAAATTTTAGATGGCGTCCGGCGTCATTGACGCTGTCGTTGTTGTTGTTTTGCTGCCGCTGCTATTGCTGTGTACCTCTTTTTCTACCAAACAAATTCTTAAACGAAAGCTGCAGAACACAACAAACATACGTGTGCATACAAATGTGAGGTAATAAATCTCTGAAAGCTTTCATGGGGCAGCGAAGTTTTAAGAAGCGAAAATATGTTACATACGTATGTATTTATATACTCTTTGGGATGAATTTGACATAAAGAAGAGAAGAAAGAAAAACAAAAGTCCGCGCTGTTGGGAAATTTATGGGTTAGCAAGTGAGAGAGTGAACTTGAAAAGGAATATGTATTTGCTCTGAGTATGGGTTGGTGAGGAAAACTTTACACGAGAGAGAGAGAGAGAGAGGGAGAGGATGAAAAATTGAAAACACACAGAATTTGATTTGCTTGTATGCGCTCGTTCTTGATGAGCGAATGTTTTGTAAACAAAGCAAAGTTTTTAGTTAATTCAAAATAAAAAATTAAACTTGGAATAATTAAGATTTTTAAAAACAAAAAATTAATAACTATAAATTTTTCGGCAATTCAAATTTTTTCAAATGTCAAATTTCTTAGATGCTTGCGAAATTGATAAGGACTGAGGCTATTTTTTAAGAAAAAGGTTCAACACAAGGCATTTATCAAGAAGATTTTATATCTAGTTATTAGGTAAGGAAGATGAATCTTTCTGGTAGAATGTACTCTGCTCAATTTTCCACTGTATGCTTCATTTTGCTCTCTAGCGAAGCCGAAAATTCTAACAAGATCATTTAATGGTGTCCGGCTGCTCCAAAATCGACGGAAATTATAATGGCATATAAATTTATGGGAAAATGGATCTGATATGCCGATGATTGCACGATATTGGCGTCTGACCGGTGTTTTTATGATCTATGTATTAAAGCGAACTGCTATCCTGCAGACCTTTCCCACTTCTTCAGTGTAAGACAATTACAACTGCAACCTGCACACTCCTCGACTACCCGTTACAACGGCTGGACCAGGAAGTACAGGCTCGAACTCCATGGTAAAATCCATGGCTCAAAATTCCGACTGTAAACAACCCGAAGATATTGGGAGTCACATTCGAAAGCCTGCACTCCTTTACTCCGCATACAATTGTAAATTTTCAAGGCTTCAGAGCCGCAACAAAATCCTCAAGGCAATTGGGAGGTCGGTCGAAAACTTTGCTGGACCGATTTGGGCGCTGGGGATTAGCGAGGCTCAGATAAAAGAGCAACATTGCCCTCAGGACCGTGACGGAAAACCTTCTGAGTCACCAGCTCATAACTTGCACAGCGAAGCATCTATGCTACAAGTTAAGTTGCATAATGCTTTGATGTACAAGCAATTTCTGCTAGGACATTGTCGTAGGGAACGCCAAACGCCGTATTGAACTCTCATCCAGTGAAAGGCGTTCTCGGAGTCAATCAAACCACCACCTAAAAGTCTGGATTTGTATTAGATTAAACTCTTACTCAACCAAACTAGACTCTGAGCCCTCGCACTACGCATTAACAACTATTTCCATGCCCCCTAAAAATGACTAATCTAACCCCCCTCTCCCTCTGAGCCGAACCCGCCAAAACAATTTGTTTCCTGGACCTTCCGTTAGATGGGCACGACCTCATAGACTGGTGTAGTCTGCTGGTGTAGTATGCATAAAAAATGGGATTCCGTTAAAGGCATTGCTAGTTAGACCTTATGTGCACAGCTGCTGTCCTAGAGCGGAAATAAGCCTACGCTTTTGTTGAGAATTAAACTACTACTAGCAATATTTGATCCTTTTGAAAATGATTCCTGTTCAACACAAAAAAAATTGGTAGCAGCAAAAATTCAAAATTAATGGATTGAAAACGTATTTATATTTTAAACGCTTTCCAATTTCGAAACTCACAATTTTTATATTTAAAAACCTTCCTTTCCTTCCTTTCTGTACCCATGTATTTTTGTTTAATATTGTTTGGAAAAATACTTCTGAATTGTATAATTTATTTTATGCGATTTTAATAAAGTTCAAAACATCGACATTGATACCACTATTTTTCCTAAGAAATTTGAAATTTTTTATCATCAATTCCATTTTTATTTTTTTTTGGTTATTTTTTTGTTTATTTTGTTTTATTTTATTTTAATTTATTTAATTTTTTAATTATAATAAGTCTTGAAATTGCCCGGTAATAATATTTTTGAAAGTAGTAGAGTGAAAAAATCGCATGCGATACGTACCCAATCAGCTGTTAAGCTCTCTCTCCTATCAATATGTGCTCACCACTTTCTTTATACTCTACCAAAAAAAACTTCTTAGCTTCCGTTATGCGCTCACTCACATTACATTAGCTCAGCTGCTTGCGATGCGCATTGGTGTACGGAAAACGCATTGCGGAAAATTCCCTGCGTTATATTAGTATACACGATGCGTTGCTTTAATTTCGTGCAACATCTAACGACAGCCACAACAACAAAAACAACATAACTACAAACAATGATGCTGCATTAGCAATGATTTTTACTGTGACAAAGAGCCAAAGTGTGAAGAGGATTGAGACGAACGACGATTTTACAGCTACATCGTTTGGGTTGCTTTGAGTATGATGACGGCGACTGCGACCAGCACGACAACAATGGCAGCGACGACGATGACTGAGACTACCACGACTACGACGATGACGACGACGACGACGACGACGACGACGACGACGACGACGACAACGACAATGCAGACGACACAAGCAGAGGCAAAATAATTTCCCAGCAGTTTTCGCGTAGCTTTTCTCACGTCCAAACGTGTTGCGGGTGAAATGGAATCGAAAATTCAGAAATATTATGCTTGAATTACTATATTTAAAGTGAACTGTTAAATATTTAATTAAATAAGAAAAAAATATTAAAAGTTATAAAAACTAATTAGTACAAGTTTTATTAATTCTCAAATCCTTAGAAAATAAATGTAAAGTGTAAATGTATGTAAAATTTAATCACAAACGAGTGAAATTTGAAATGTGTTTAAAAGGCAAATGGTTGGTTGATGTTGATGAGCAAAACAAAAAAAAAGAGAAAAAAATACGCAATTAAAATAGAATTGCAGTAATTAATCAAAAAACGCTAAAATTAAAGCAACAGCTGTTTACAAAGTGTTTGGGTGCAAAATTAATACAAAAACACACACACACTTACACTCATACACAGCAAACAAATAAAAACAAAATCTAAGCAAAGAAGTGAGCATCGACATTTTTCACAGTTTTCGCTTGTAGCGCTAAAGCTGGCTTACTTGGCGAATGTCAAGGCAATTTGGCAGCACACAGTGCGGTAGGCATTTGCCGTAAAATTCAATTGCGGCTTAGTCCTACTAATGCCAAGCTCTTACACATGCATAAGCAAACAGCAACAGCAACAGCACACACATACATACATATCTACATTTGTGCACATTCAAATTAATTGCGAAGAAAGTATATAGCAGCGATGGCATAGACGTTACAATGCCAACGCCGCAATATTTCGTGCGCCTAAATGTATGTAGCAATTAATTTAAGCCGTTGGGCAGGCAGGCAGGCCAGTTAACTTGAGATTGGCCGCAAGCTCTTTATACGTTATTTTATTTTACGAGCAAATTGACACCTAACTGTTGTAATCTGCGCGCTGCGTATGCATTTATATATATACACCATAACCAGCACACTAACATCAACATCCACCAACACCATCATTACCATCTACATACACACATACGAGTATGCACAAACCATTTCTACCTGTACAACATTTTAGGCCCACAGTGTGTAGTGTAGTAGCCTTCGGTGGCATTAACTTCGCAGCAAAGGAAAAATAAGAAAAAGTGAAATAAACGACCAGCGTCACTTGTGTCCCCAGGCTACTTTGCGGTTGCTGTTGGTGACCACTATGCGGTAGCACCATTTTCATATTCTTTTTATATCCAATTACATATGTATGTAGGTACATATGTAGGTGCAATGTACATATACCTATACATGTGTGTGTATACATTCAAGTGCGACGATGTGTGAATACATACATATATTGTACATACACACATACATAAGAATTGTGGCGTAAAAGTGAAAATAATCATAAGAAATGTCGTGAATGTTTAATTACATGTGGTGCGATCATTTGGGCGGTGCAGTGTGTGCTACCTTCATTCATTTTTTATACGCTTTTTCATCTGGGTGTATGTAAAAATATATACCTGAGTGTATAACTTGTGCTTGTGCTTACAGTTTATTTTTGCATTTTCTTTTCTTTGCTCGTGCATACTTTATGTACAATATGTACATTTAAAAAAAATGTTTTTGCATTTTTTTTTTTGGATCCCCCAAGTGCGTGCATTTGTACTACTAAAAATTTTGTTGCCAGCTGTCTGATATTCTGCTTGTTTTCTTTTGAATTTTTTTACAACTTTTATCTAACTTTCGTTGTAAATGCCTGTAAAAGTCAAAATATTTTTGTTTTACTATTCTCTTTTGCTGTAACAACTTTTATTTTGTATCGTGGGAATGCAAGTTTTGCTTTCGCTGGTCAATTTTTTTTTTTTATAAATTATTTTCAAAGAATTACGCAGACTGCTATTCTTAGACTTCCTTACTAAGCTTCTACTAATATTAAATGTGAGGGTTAAAAAAAGATGGCAGTTAATAGCTGAGTTACGTTTACTGGAAAAAAGGGTATAAATTGTATAAATTGTTTTTTTTTTTAATCAATAATTATATTTGTTTTAAATTAAAGTAATAATTTTTTTCTTTATAACTTATGCTCTGTTTAAATATATAATTCCGTTGAAAGACAAAAATTAAAGACGCATCGAAAAATTTCGAAAAAAATCGAATGGATGCATACATATATGGACACTTTAATAAAAACCTAAATGAATTTTAACCAACACTAAAATACTTTTTTTTTCAAGCATATAAAAAGCTTGGAACATTTGAAAACCCCCTCAATTACTTTGCCTGGCTGCTCTGCTATTTCAACTAACATTTTTTGAAGCATACAATTTTATAAAATTTTTTTTTATTATTTTTTATAATAAATATATTGTCTACTGATACAAAAAACAAGGTAGTTTCACTCAATTTTTTTTCCAAAAATATTAACCATATGACGTGAAAGAATTTTTTTAACTTTTGTTTTATTTTTGTGCTACCAGTTTCTTTAAAAAAAAAATAAATTATCAACTTTCTAAAACTAAAAAAAAAAATTATTGAAAAAAATGCAAAACTTTTCTATGTAAACGAAAGAAAAAAAAAATTAAAAGTACTCATAAAAAGTTTTTGCCTAGTATTTTCTAAAGTCTAATGGACAACTAATTTCAGGCAACTTTGTATTTTTTTTATATAAAAAAATTATATGAAATATTTTTAAATCTTGAAGATGATGTCAAAAAGTCTCTTTCTGTCAAATTTATGTTGAGTGAAACTACCTTCTTTTTTGTTTCAAACTAATAATTACATATAGACAGAAAATTAACGAAAACTTTTATTTAAATAAAATTGTCACAAACCATTTCGTATTTGAGTGGAAAATCCTACTGAGATCTAATACAATAATAATAATATTAAAGTGATGAAGTTGGTTTAAATAAGTGATCTAGATATCCGGGTATTGAGCAGTGTGAGCAGCTTAATGTTGGCTGGATATTCGCTCATTTCGCTCAGTGGTCAATTGTTTTTAATTTCTTTTTTTATATTCAGGTTTCTCATTAACTCGAAAGCGGAACAAAAACTTTCAAATTATATTTTTTTATTTCACTTTGCGTAAATATGTTTAAAATTATAGGGTAAAGTGCTAAAAAAAGTCAAAGTTTTTGCTCATTGTCATCGTAAAAGTTAGTTATGGTCGTGCGCGCAAAATTTCTATTAATAAGCATTGAACAAGTGTGCGGGGGTATTCGTTGCTCAAATGCTCAAATACTTGAGCTACTCAATGTAGTTCGAACAAAATCTTGAGCTCTAGTTATAGTGCTCACCAAAAATCGAATTGGTGTATGGAACTGAAAATTTAGAAAATTAATAAAACATTTGAAAAATAAAATATAAATATATAATGAATATTTAAATAAAGAAATTACTAATTATTAACCCAAAAAAAAAATAGAACATAATAACATAAATAACATAAATAACATAAATGAACAATATCAAAATTTCTTTGAGCCTAAGTGATTACATTAAGCGGTAAAGCCACAGAGGATTTTGGAAAATTCTATTTGTTTTTTCCTCATAAGGTTATAAAGTGAAAAAAATATTTTAAAAAGCTAAATTTTTTATTTTGCTGCAGCCTCTCAGAGCGTGCGCTGAGTACAATGCAAACTTTTAACGAGTTTTTCTCAAAATCACATTTTTCAAAATGCGGACAGATTATTCGCCTATTGCATCGATTTATATGAAATTTTGATGGTTGCTTCAATAATACATACCGTTTTTAGATAAAATTATTTTTTTATAATTTAGTGCGTATTTTTTAGTCAAAAATCAATCTTAAAAAAAAAAAACCAGTTAAAAAAAATTCGTACGTACTTTCAAAGACTATAGTTTGTAAATCATAAATTTTTTTGCGTCGCATCCTTAAGAAGATATTTGTCCATTCAAAAAAAAAAAAAAAACATAAATTAAATTATCTACTTAATCACCTCCATTTTTTTAAAAAATAATAATTAAAAAATATTTTTTTAACTTTCAATATATGTTTAGTGAAATGGTTAAATAGAAATTCTATACCTTTTTCCATATTTCTGGAATAAATTTTTAAAAATGAATCAATTTTTCAACCTCTAGAGCGGCTTTACTTACCCCTTAATAATATATTTATTTATTGAGTTGCTCTAGGTTACACCAGATTACTCTATGTATTTCTAGAAATTGTTGTTCATAAAAATTTAAAAATTCAGTTTCAAGTTTTTTTGGTAGAGTAACTTGAAGCAAGCAGAAATTGTTTAAACAGACGGTATAAGAAAACGAAAGGAGGCAAAATTAACTAAGGAATGCTCACCGGGTACAGAAAACAACAAAATAGCGAATTATCACTAAAGGAATTATATAAAATGTTTAACATTGGAATTTGAAATTTTTTTCCGTAAAAATGTTTCATGAGATTGCTGATCAGAGGTTGCCTTGATTTTCTCTATTGTGTTTCGAGAAGTGATCTGCTCTGCTTAAGCAATTTTTGGCTGAGCTTCTTGATGTTTTGCAATAAATTGGAAGTCCTACAGTTTAAGCTAAGTCACCTCCGAACGGCCGAAAAATTTTCACAAGAAGCTTTTATTTCATGTCAGAAATACACTCGATTTCGATGTCGATCAAACCAAGACTCGAACCTAAGCTTTCCAATTGGTACTGCGCGCTGCTAACCACTCGATTATCTTGACCGTAGATTTACATTTCAATTAACAATTATTGAAGATGGTTGAGAATGCCTTAAAAAATATTTTCTGCCTTCTATGAAAAAGTTTGGTCGCTTTAAATATTATTAAATATAATTTCACTTTCAAGTTTTTAAGCATTTTGAAGTCATTTAGTGAAACTTCAGGGACAAATGATATACAAAGAGGTGAGTTGAGTTGATAACCATTACTAGCGCCCTTAGGCACATGATGACAAACCTATGAGGCTCCTATCTTCACCTTCTGAGATATTCAAACCATTTCATGTGTCTTATAGAAGCAACGAGATTGTCAATTTTCGCTGGAGATATATCAGCGAGACAGTCGAAGAAGCGGTTTCCAAGGAACTGAAGAAGACTCTTCCTTCTCCTCGTCCCTACAGCTGCGGCAAAAATCATTAGATTGTTATTCCATTTATTTTCTCAGTGAAACCCCATTAACAGTGTGGCGTGTCATTATGTTAATAGATAGTCGATCTAGAAGGAGAAAATGCTTTGGTCTAGTCACTTTTGGATCTCATTTAGCCAGCTTTGCATATATTACGTATTTACAATGATATTGCTTTTGTTGAAATGTCTCAATATTCTGGTTTACATTTGATCACTGTATAGCTGCTGT